GCAAATGATTGATGGCATATAATTCAACAACAAGGAATGATACGATTATAATTATCAAATCATCACTTTTTTCTAATTCAGCTTTTGGTTTTTTCTAGGACACTGTGCTTTGATAAGACAAAAAGCTATGTAGGAAACGATTCTTGTCTAATACAGTAATTTTAATTGCTTCTTCTCCTCTACAGTCTCTTGTCGTTTGTTCGACCCAACAAAAGAAAAAGCTGGTCCACATTTTCTGATATATTTTATCTTAATATAGTGAAAACCAATTCACAGAAAGATAATGGGTCTTCTCACTTCTGTATTGAATCGCGTATAGTCTATGGTTGGGTATGAATACCGGAGGGTCCATAGTAACCTGAATTATTATTATAACTCTTATCTTTTCGTTTAAAAAATATTACTACTTTTTCTGATAGGGAAGGAAACTGCTTTAGATAATTGATATCGGAGCTGTTTTGCATTTTCTTTTCGAAATTGTAATCAGAAAGGAGACAGTTTTGTCTGGAGAAAAAGAGATCTAACAATTATTTGGGAAATGCCTCGAGATCTTCATATTCAATCACTAGTGTTACAAATAGGGTATTTGGGTTCATGCTCCAAGTTTTATAATAATTAAACTATCAGTAGACAAATCTAATGATAAAGGATTTTATATGCCCCCAAATACTTTTGTGAAGGAAATATAGAGGTGGCTACATACACATGTGAACAAAATAAGAGTTTCTCTTCTTTACAACTCTAACTTCAAAACTTAAATTAAAAGATGGAGAAAGCAATATTAGAACGCACAAAAGATATAAGAAAGAAATGAAGGGTACCAAATTGATCGATCCAAAGATATATACTAAATCCATAATAATTAATTAATCACCTCTCTAATCTTCATCGATCAGAAGAGTCCCCCACATATATATATAACATTGATCTATAATAACTTATCTCTCATACTCACCGTAAAAACCAGGTGTGTCAGCTCACCTAGTTGGAAATAGGGTTTGGACCACTAGGAACTTCATGAGCATCATTTCCAAACTCTCTTCTTCTAGAACTGCGGCTGCCTCGTGTGCGAGCCTTTGGACGCAGATCCAATGTCGATGAAGCTGGAGCCGAAGATTCGAGAAGAACCCTCTTGGAGGGAGCAGCCGTAGATGTGGATTGATGATGAGTCATGGGGATTGTAAGGCTAATGATGAGAAGGAAAGATAAGCAGATGAGGAAAAGGGGAAGCGCATGAGAATGTGATGATTTGGTATTGATTTGATCATTTGATGTTGCCATGCAATTTAGAAAAAGAAATAACCACCCCCCCAAGATCCCAAGAGGGTTCAATATCCATTAACCAGAAACGAACAACTCGAAAGCTGGTCAGAGCCGCGAGATAAGAAAAAGCA